GTTTCACAATTTGAGTTGAATTACTGAAATAAATGAACTTTTCCACGACATTCTAATTTGAGATGCACCTGTATAGCCTATATGTGTGTGTGTCATTACAGTCTTTAAAAAGGGTTCATATGTGTATCTCTTATCATCACAAGACTGCAATCACTAGTAAACAGAAGACTTCCTATTAATAAAGTATCTGAAAAAGATCTACTCTATGAACAATGCATTAAATTACATTAAATAAAGACAAAATAAATGAATAAAACAAGCAAATGAAACGATAACTCACATGTATCTGGTCCACTGGTGCCATGTCTTAAATCAAGAGAATTATAAATCATCTTATAACAGGCGTCCAAAACTGACTTCCGGAAAAGAGGACTAACCAATGACATTTGAGATTACAATTAAAACAGCAAGCTCCGCCCCACGACTGACAAAAATAAGTGTTTGCGCGAGCAGGTGAGGAAAGATCGAGCGCGAGGATGTGGGGAATGATCATGAGGGTTTGAAATGAGCTCGCGGGCTCCCTTTCCTCGCGTGTAAATCTGTTTTCCTCTTGCGGAATTGATTTACCCCGCACGCCAGCATCAGTGGTGCGCTCGGGTATTAATGGCATAGAATTGCCGCCATAGATCAGTGCACAGGACGGACATCAGCCGAGCCGAGCGACGACAGAAAGATAGAGACGGCGGATAAAAAACAAAAGAGGAAAACGTCTGCAGAACAAAAGGAGGCTTGCGATAAGGCAAGAAGTAGGACCCGTGTAAATATCGGATCAGCTTTCCAGAGCTGGAGAGAACTCAAGCAGCGGGAAGGCCTGCCGAGTTTGCTTTGTTTCTTCTCAATAGGTGAGTAACATTGGTTTTGCTTTGTTTCACAGAACTAATATATGCACGTTAAAACTCACAGTATTTCCAAAACACATTCGACCTGCACTACCATAGTAACACACATTGTTTTCACTTATTGATGACAGCATACCCTCGGCTAGCTGGCACAGCAGATTCCGCCATAACCGTTGCCTGGGTTGCGTACGTATGTGTGGGGCGGAGCTATCAAAATAGGGCCGAGACCCTTTTGGGGTAGGGGCATGTTTGTTTTGGTGATTTGAAATATCAACATTGGTTACCAGAAATCACTTAACCCAGTTTTAAGAAATCAACAGATATGTCCGTGATTGGCTACATTGCTCAACGCTGCAAAAACACATTGACATTGAAATCGATCTCCAGAGCGCAAACCATCAGAGCTGAAAACTTGAGAAATTGAAAAGAAGGCGCTAGCAATCACTTGGGCCCGTGAAAGATTCCCAACCTACCTTCTTGGACTAGATTTTGTGGTCAAGACTGATCACAAGCCACTAGTTAGTCTGCTAGGCTCAAGACTGCTGGATGATGTGCCTCCATGCATACTGAGATTTTGTCTATGACTTCTGCGGTTCTCCTACAAAATCATGCATGTCGCTGGAAGAAAATTTGATCACAGCAGACACACTCTCTAGAGCTCCACTCAAAGAACACCTGTCTGAAGCAGACCTGAAAAGAGAGGAAGAGGTCAAATTGATCATGCCTTTCAACAATTGCCAGCAGTGCCTACCAAGCTTGCTCAAATAAAGAGGGCTCAGGAAGAGGATGAAGTGTGCAATCAGGTAGGTTCTCTTGTGCGCACAGCGTGGGAATGAAAAAAGAGTATTACACCACACTTAGCAAAGTTTTGGCAACACATGACCTGGTCATCACAGAGGGCTTGCTGATGAAAGGAAAGAGACTTGTGATAGCTGGCAGTATACAAGAAGACGTTCTAGAGAAGATACATCAGGGCATCAAGGCATCACTAAATGCTTGGCAAGAGCACACATGTGAGTATGGTGACCTGGTATAACAAAGCAAATCAAAGACAAAGTGAGTCAATGTGAAACTTGTGTCAAAAACAGCTACAGTCACCCAGAGCCCTGCTGACTACTGCTTTACCCTCCTGACCGTGACAGAGAGTGCAGCAGATCTTTTACACTGTGCTGTTGACTACTGCTCACGCTACATAGAAGTTACTTCTCTCACTTCAACAGCAACAACTCCTGTGAAAGAGAAACTTAACGCGGTGTTTGCTCGTCATGGGGTCCCAGAGGTTTTAGTTACGGACAATGTTCCGGTATAGTTATTCATTAACGATGGAACAGTGTTCTAAAGTGTTACTAATTATTTAACATGAGACTTTTCAGAATGTCAGAGCAGCTCTGGTCTTGGAGGGCCACTGTCACGCAGAGTTTAGCTCCAACCCTAATAAAACTCTCCTGCCTTTAGCTTTCTAATAATCCTGAGTAATTTGGATGCAGTATTATTAGTTTTATTTTATAAAGGTGTTTATCCCACTTTGTGTTCTCACTAACTCTGAGTTTCTGTATGAGACTCACACCTAGTGGACATTTCAGTATGTGAGTTTACAGACTTACAGACGTAACATTGGTTTTGCTTTGTTTCACAGAACTAATCGTTGCCTGGGTTGCGTACGTATGTGTGGGGCGGAGCTATCAAAATAGGGCCGAGACCCTTTTGGGGTAGGGGCATGTTTGTTTTGGTGATTTGAAATATCAACATTGGTTACCAGAAATCACTTAACCCAGTTTTAAGAAATCAACAGATATGTCCGTGATTGGCTACATTGCTCAACGCTGCAAAAACACATTGACATTGAAATCGATCTCCAGAGCGCAAACCATCAGAGCTGAAAACTTGAGAAATTGAAAAGAAGGCGCTAGCAATCACTTGGGCCCGTGAAAGATTCCCAACCTACCTTCTTGGACTAGATTTTGTGGTCAAGACTGATCACAAGCCACTAGTTAGTCTGCTAGGCTCAAGACTGCTGGATGATGTGCCTCCATGCATACTGAGATTTTGTCTATGACTTCTGCGGTTCTCCTACAAAATCATGCATGTCGCTGGAAGAAAATTTGATCACAGCAGACACACTCTCTAGAGCTCCACTCAACGAACACCTGTCTGAAGCAGACCTAAAAAGAGAGGAAGAGGTCAAATTGATCATGCCATTTGCCAGCAGCCAGCAGTGCCTACCAAGCTTGCTCAAATAAAGAGGGCTCAGGAAGAGGATGAAGTGTGCTAGGTTCTCTTTACACCACACTTAGCATCGTTTTGGCAACACATGACCTGGTCATCACAGAGGGCTTGCTGATGAAAGGAAAGAGACTTGTGATAGCTGGCAGTATACAAGAAGACGTTCTAGAGAAGATACATCAGGGCATCAAGGCATCACTAAATGCTTGGCAAGAGCACACATGTGAGTATGGTGACCTGGTATAACAAAGCAAATCAAAGACAAAGTGAGTCAATGTGAAACTTGTGTCAAAAACAGCTACAGTCACCCAGAGCCCTGCTGACTACTGCTTTACCCTCCTGACCGTGACAGAGAGTGCAGCAGATCTTTTCCACTGTGCTGTTGACTACTGCTCACGCTACATAGAAGTTACTTCTCTCACTTCAACAGCAACAACTCCTGTGAAAGAGAAACTTAACGCGGTGTTTGCTCGTCATGGGGTCCCAGAGGTTTTAGTTTCGGACAATGGGCCATCTCCTGTCTGCTTCTTACTAATATCACAACAGTCAGAGCCACCTTGTGAACTGCTCACTAATTCATTTATCATGAGGTTCCTGTTAGTTAATAGTGTGTTACTCATTTGTTCCGGTGTAGTTATTCATTAACGATGGAACAGTGTTCTAAAGGGTTACTAATTATTTAACATGAGAC